TGGTGAGAGGGCTAAGGCAGCCACGAGCTCAGATAGTCGCTAGCAGCTCGATGCTCGATCTGTGGGTTCGGATATGGTCGGCCTTGGACGCTCGTGGTCCTGGTTCTGTCGACGTCCTGTGGACCAAGAGCCACTCGACGACCCACCAGAGAGCCCAATTCGCCACTGGGGAGGAGGAGTTTTTCCTGAATTGGTGTGCTGATTTCTTTGCGGGGTGGGCCACTGAACGTGTGGCCCCCTCCCCCGAGCAAGTTGATGTGACTGCGTTTGTTGATCGTGTCACGTCTCACACGCTTGACCGCCTTCTGGCGGTGCATCGGGAGGTTGTGGAGCAGAACCCCCGCCGTGTTTCTGATCGGCTTGGCCGTCCTCCCCCTCGGCCCCCTCCTATCCCAGCCTTCCAGGCCCGCCTTAGGAGAATGAGGTTCGCGGGTCATGAGCCGACCTTGAAGGGTACGGCTCTCCGCTGCCAGATATGTGTGCGTCGGTTCAAATTGAAGGGCCGTGTCCAGGAGTTCTGCCCTGGTCCCTGTCTCGGGCCCGCTCACCTTTCCTCTGATCCGCTCGCGCACCCCTTGTATCCTTCGTGCGCGGGCAATCATAGGTTGAATGTACTCCGCGGTGTGCTGTTTTGCGAGCACTGCGGTGCCCATGCCAGTGGGCGCAATGTGCAAAGCCTGGCCAAACCCTGTAAGACTGATCGTCCCCCCACGAAGGCTGGGAGGGAGGTCTTGTCCAGGTTGGCTCGTGGTCTTCCCCCCAAGAGTGGTGGCAAGTTCCCCCAGGCTTGAGTGTGAGGTCGTGCCCAGGCTTGACCTGGTCTCCACGGGTTTGCATCATCATCATTCCCCTCCTCCTCTTCCTCCTCCTCATACTCCTCTTCAGGTTCCTCCTCCTGCTCCTCCTCCGCCTCCTCATCCTCCGCCTCCTCCTCATCATCATCATCATCATCATCATCGTCATCGTCGTCATCATCATCAGCAGCAGCGTCAGCCCCATCATCTTCATCAGCAGCATCACCATCATCATAATCATCTTCACCGTCATCATCATCAATATCAACATCAGCATCATCGTCAGCAGCAGCAGCATCATCGTCATCGTCATGCTCATCAGCATCCGCCGCATCATCATCAGCATCATCATCAACATCGTCAACATCATCCATATGATGCAGATCATCATCATCAGTATCATCATCAGCACAATCATCACCAACAGCAGCTGCATCATCATCAACAGCTACAGCAGCATCATCGGCATCATCATCAGCCGCCTCCACCTTCTCCTCCTCCCCCTCCTCCTCCTCCACCTCCCCCTCCGCCTCCTCCTCCTCATCCCCCTCCTCCTCCTCCTCCTCCTCCGCTTCCTCCTCCTCCTCATCCTCCTCCTCCGCCTCTTCCTCCTCTTCCTCCTCCTCCTCCTCCTCCTCCTCCTCCTCCTCATCCTCCTTGTTTTCCTCCTCCTCGTCCTCCCCCTCCTCCTCCTCTTCCTCCCCAACCTCCTCCTCCTCCTCCGCCTTCTCCTCCTCCTCCTCCTCTTCCTCCTCCTTCTCCTCCATCATATCATCATCATCATCATCATCATCATCATCATCATCATCATCATCATCATCATCATCATCATCATCATCATCATCATCATCATCATCATCATCATCATCATCATCATCATCATCATCATCATCATCTTCAGCATCATCAGCATCATCATCATCATCACCACCACCACCACCGCCACCATCATCATCATCAGCAGCAGCATCGTCATCATCAGCATCATCATCATCTGCACCATCATCATCATAAGCAGCAGCATCATCACCATCATCAGCATCATAATCATCATGATCATCATCAGCAGCAACAGCATCCGCATCATCATCAGCATCATCATCATCAGCAGCATCATCATCATAATCATCATCATCAACAGCATCATCAGCATCATCATCATCGTCATCAGCATCAGCATCAGCATCGTCAGCATCATCATCACCAGCAGCAGCATCATCATCAGCATCATCATCATCATCGTCAGCATCATCATCGTCTAGATCGTCATCATCATCAACACCACCACCACCATCAGCATCAGCATCATCATCCTCATCAGCATCATTATCAGCAGCATCAGCAGCAGCTCTATCATAATCAGCACCATGATCAGCGGCATCAGTAGCAGCAGCATCAGCAGCAGCATCATCTTCATCAGAATCAGCGTGTCAGCATCATCATCAGCAGCATCATCAGCATCGTCATCAGCATCTTCATCATCATCATCATCAGCATCATCATCATCATCATCATCATCATTATCAAAATCACCATCATCAGCATCATCATCAGCATTACCAGCATCATCATCATCATCATCATCATCATCATCATCATCATCATCATCATCATCATCATCATCATCATCAGCGTCATCAGCATCATCATCATCAGCATCATCATCGTCGTCGTCATCATCAACATCAGCTGCAGCAGCATCAGCATCAGCATCAGCAGCAGCAGCATCATCACCATCATCACCATCATAGGCATCAGCATCAGCATCGTCATCATCAGCATCATCATCGTCATCATCATCAGCGTCATCTTCAGCATCAGCATCATCGTCATCATCATCATAATCATCACCATAATCAGCAGCATCTTGATCAGCATCAGCATAACCAGCATAACCAGCATTATCAGCATCAGCAGCATCATCATCAGCATCATCGTCATCGTCATCGTCATAACAATCATCATCATTGCCATCATCAGCATCACCATCATCATCAGCAGCAGCATCATCATCAGCATCATCATCAACAGCATCATCAGCAGCAGCATCATCATCAGAAGCAGCATCAGAATCAGAGTCAGCACCATCATCATAATCAGCATCATCGTAGCCATCATCATCATCATCATCATCATCATCAGAATCATCAGCATCATCGTAATCAGCATCAGCATCATCATCATCATCATCAGTATCATCATCTTATTGATATTCTTATTATTCTTCCTCTCCCTCCTCCTCCCACTCTTCCTCCTCCTCCTCCTCCTCTGCCCCCTCCTCCTCCGCCTCCTCCTCCTCCTCATCATCATCCACGTCCTCCGCCTCAATTCATCATCCTCCGCATTCTGGCCCTCGTGAGGGGTGACCTGGAGGCCACATGGGCCTCATTGGAGGAACTGGGGCAGCCCTGTGCCAGGCGCGGACCAGGGGGTGTAGAAGGCCACTCCCGTTCGCCCAAGCCCCTCGTGCGCGCCGCCAGAGTCGTTGAGGGCTTGACGACTGCTGCTGCCCTCCCCCCTCGCGCAGGAGAGTCCATAATTCGATCCAGATTTCGCTGGGGGTCTGCTAGATTCGTCTGGATTTCCCCATGCCAATGCGGACTTACTCACATGTATCTGCATCTGCCTCATCTTACCTGGCCTGACCCCCGCAAGGGCAGCCGCAGCCCCCTCCGTGCACGCTATCCCCCTGCCAGGGCCTCTTCGGTGGACGCTATCCCCAGGTTCGGAGTTCGCTTATGATCAAAAAGGGCCAAAACAACATGAACATAGACTGTTGGAGGTCCACGCGGATTCCCTGGATTTCCGCTGGCTGCACACCCCCCCCCTCCCTGGCGCGCGGAGCGCACCAGGGGGGCCTGGCGCCGATCCAAGAAATCCGCGCGGACCTCCACAAATGTGTGTTTGCGCCGTTGTGCCTTCTTCCGAATACGGTGGAGGCATTGGGCGAGGAACCATTGGAAAAGGAAGCCAGAGTCTAGAAGGCAGTGGAACTCCAATCACCGCCGCCCTGATCGGATAAGGAATCCTGCAGGATCTGAAGCCTCCTGGGTACATTCATTAACCCGTGCCCCCACTGTAAGCCAAGTGCGGACAGCATCAAAGTAGGAAATCGTATCGAGTCGGAATGTGCGTCGGATCCGGCCGCATCGGCATGGAGTCGAGACCAAATGGGATCGGCTGCAGCAGGATGCCCAACAGCGCCGTGAGCATCGGGCTGCATAGGGATCGTCGGGAAATCGAATTCGAAACCGGATCGGAGTTGCCGAACACGATATCGAATCGCATCGATCGGATCGAGGTGGGTCCTGCCACAAGCGGGCTAGCGGCGCCACATCGCACGCCATCTCCCCAACGCCCTAGCGCAAGAAGCCCCCGCCACCACCACCGACCTCGGAGGGCCGCCTTCCACCGCGCCCACCCCCTCGCGCGCGCCGCCCAGGGGGGAGGCCGCAGCACCCCGCTGGGCGGAGGATCCTGGAGGCCTCGCGCAGCAGCGCTGGAATTACGTCGGGCTCACGCCGGATTTATGGCGGAGTCACGTCGAGCTCACGCCAGAGTCACGCCAGATCTGTGCCGGAGGTACGTCGGGTGCACGTCCGGTCTGCGCCTGGAGAGCCACGCCGGCTTCACTGCTGGGGGCGGGGCGTCTGCACGGCATCTGCATGGCATCTGCTTGGCCATCTGCACGGCATCTGCATGGCGTCTGCACGGCATCTGCACGGCATCTGCATGGCCATCTGCGTGGCCATCTGCATGGCAGCGTGTTCGCTGTGGTCCTCGCTTGCATCTGCGCGGCCGCGTCGGGCATCGCTTCGCGCCTGACTCTCCGAGGGACTCGCGTCGGACTCGCAACGGAGCTGCGTCGGACCTCCGTCGGGACATCGCCGCACCAGCGTCGTCATTTTCCACCCGACGGGGCCGACGTGCGGACCAGATTCGGCGGCGAGCCCGGAGGGGGGCGAGAAGGGGCGGGCCTTCTCGGGAGGCGCAGAAGTCCCCACAGCCCTCTTCTGAAGTTTTCCGGGCCGTCCCCGAAGGCACAGCAGACCTGTCGGGAGGCCAGAGGCCTTCCGAGAGGTCCCGCCGCCTCCTGAGGAGGCATTCTCCTCCTCGCTTCCCCCTCTCGCTCGCCGCCGATGGACACCACGAGTGTTGCGCGCCGCGCGAGGCCTCCAGGACTTTCCTCCTGGCGCCCCGGAGGACCCGACGAGGGCAGCGCGATCAGGACGTCGCCGGCCTCCATGGCGCCGTGGCGGGGCAGGAGGCTGCCCCTCTCCGCGCGCCCGACGGCGAAGCCGACGAAATCCGAGCCTGAGGAGCAACGGTAGGGGGGGGACCGGCTCCAGGGAGGGGGGGGGGCATCGACCTGGAATCGGCGATTACATCGCCGATTCTCTTAGCTGCCCCGATACGCAACACGCAACACGTAGCGTAATGATACGGAGCTCAGCACGTGGACCGAGAACGCAGGTCTGACGCGGTACGTTCGCCAAAACGTGGGCCAATACGTTGAGCCAACACTCCACGTAGCGGCACGGATGCTTTGAGCACGGCACGTGGTGCAGATTGCAGATCGAAACGGGCGTATCGAGGCAGCCAAGTCGCCAATGGGTCGGCGATGGGCCCCCGACGGCGAAACGAACGCCTGCCAGGGCCCCGATCGGCGAGGAAGGGGCGACTGTGTGGGTCGAGGCATCCCCCCCCCCCTGAGCCAGATTCCCCCCCAGCGTTGCCCCGATCGTCCTCCGGTGTCGTTCAGCTTTCGAGTCACAATGCAGCGTTCTGGCGGCCGCTCGGGACGATCCGGGCACCCCGTGAACGCCCCCGGCGAGGCGCAGCCGCTGGAGAGCACCCCGAGGCTGGAGAGCCGACAAGAACCCACGTCAAGGCCAGAAAACCTCGAACTTCGAACCTCGAAGGCCTCCCTCCCCCCCGAAGCGTTGGCCCCCTGGCCTTCTGGCCATGCGTAACTCAGCTCTCCGGTGGCCGTGCGGGGCGATCCGGGCCAACCCCCCGGGAGCGCCCTCGGCCAGGCGCGGCCGTTGGAGAGCACCCCGAGGCTGGAGGGCCTCCAGAATCGGACGAAGACGCCAGAGGCCCCCCTGCTCCCAGGCACGCTCGCGTCGTGAAAAGGCACGACGCCCAGTTCGTTCCCCTTTTCCGCCTCTGGGCACCCTCGCCAGGCCCCGGGACCGTCAAAACACGGCCGAGGATGAAAAACAGGCCCTGGGGGAAGGGGTGGGCTCTTCTGGGGACCCGTACGGATTGGCGGCGCGCACATGGGCACAAGGGGGCAGGGGAAGAGGGGAAGTCTTCTCAGAAGGAGGCTGCTTCTTCGAAAAGGCGCCAGCCCTGCATCCATAATCAGATGAGGCCCGCGCCTTCGAAGAAGCAGGGGTGCTTCCAAGAAGCCTTCCCCTCTCCCCCTACGCCCCTCTGCGCGTGGCCGACTTGGGGAAAGTCAAGACATCGCATGTCTGGGCTCCGAGCCCACGCGTCCCCCTGAGCGTATCCCCCCCCGCGTTGCCCCTGAGAGCCGCCGCTCGGGGCGAAGATGCCCGGCAGCTCAGCCACGCCGGCGTCGAGAAGGGTGCAGCCGGCCTCGACGCAGCCCTCGGCGACGCCCCTCGGGGGGGGAGGACGCCAACTGCACCCAGACTTTTGTTTCGCCGCGGCGCGGCAGAAGCCATGCCCCCGCGCGTTTAAGTTGTCTCGCCGAGCGAGTTCCACTACTGGCAAAGTGCCTACTCGCAAAAGTCCGAAAAAACACCTGTCTGCTTTGACTTAATTTATCGTAGATCCCCGGCGGGGGATCCAGGCCATTTGCGAGTAGTGATTTTGCGAGTGTTGGAACGCGCTCGTAGATTGTCGGGGGAGCACGGCATACCAGTTGGCCGGCAGCAAGAGCGGGACATGGCAGGGAGGGCGGCCGCAGAGGACAGGAGGGGGGAAGGCGACTACACCCAGGCATGCCCCCATCGAGCAAGCCAAAAACTCCCCGTCGCTCGGACATCCATTCCCTGTGCTTGTTTCGGTTTCGTGCGTGGTTTTTTCGCCAGATGGTCGAGGATGCTCCTCGAAGGTCCTCGCCGAGAAAGAAAACGCACACGTCGGAGCGATGCCCGCCCAAAACAAGCGGCAGGGGTTTGGCCGTTCTCGGCCTCCAGGGGGCCCTCGCCTGGCCCTAGGGCCGACAGGAAGCCACTCGGGATGAGAGGCCGGCCCCGGGGCAAGAGTCAGGGTTTCCGGGTGACCCCGTACACGTCGGCCGGAAGAAGTAAGTAAAAACAGGAAGTAGGAAGGCGGATTGAGTTGATCGGATCCAGGCCCCCCCCGAGAAGAACAAAACACAGCAAAAGCGTGTCGATTCTTGAAGCAGGAAGGCGCTTGAAGTAGATTGGGATCTGGGAATCCAAAAATACCTACTTTCAACGACCGGCGTGTAATGACAAAATCAGAGCATCGCATGTCCGGGTATACGTCGGCACCACTCCTGACCAGGAGCATCCTGGACCCAGGATCGGTGCAGGTGCCCTCCTGGCTCGGGCAGGAAGGTGTACAAAGCGATCCTGGGCCCAGGATCGGCCTGGCCAGGATCGGTGCATAGATGGCGCCCTCCGACCTCACCATCTGCATCGCCTGCTCGGCGTCCACCTTGTTCGTGGAGATGTGCTCGTGGAAGAAGAGCGGCTCGGCCCCGCGCGCAGCCACGTCGTTCGCGCAGAGCGCGACGAGATCAATTCCCAGGCAGTCGAAGTGCTCGGGACGGGAGGCCAGGCGGAGCTTGGTGCCCACTGCGCTGGAGCTGCTGACCAGAAGGTAGGGGATCTCATCCTTCGCGACCTCGTGCACCTTTCAAGGACCGAAAAACTGCACCCGAAATGCTGTGCCCTGCAGCGACGCATGGTTATCCAGGGGCGCCCAGAAACTGCACGTGCCCCATGACGAGACGTAGGGAGCACCAAGCCCCAGCAACTCTCGGACAGGCGTCCCCCGCACAGCGGAAAAAAAAACTCTTTTTTCGCATGATGCGTCGGCAACGGCGCCGCCGCTCCGGCCGTCGTCGTCGTCGTCGTCGGCATCATCGTTGCCGCGGCCATCGTCGTCGTCGCTGTCGTCCTCCTCCTCCTCCTCCTCATCATCATCATCATCATCAGCATCATCAGCATCATCATCGTCATCATCATCATCGTCGTCATCATCATCATCATCACCATCATCATCCTTGTCGTCGTCGTCGTCCTCGTCTTCGTCGTCCTCGTCCTCGTCCTCGTCCTCGTCCTCGTCTTCGCCCTCGTCCTCGTCCTCGTCGTCCTCGTCCTCGTCCTCGTCGCCGCCACCGCATGCTGCTTCGCCCACTGCACCTTTCCGCGCAGCCCCGCCACCTGCGCGCCGGCCTCCTGCCCGCTGTCCGAGCGCACCGTGCGCAGCGCCAGGGGCTCGAAGCTCGACACCGCGGCCTGACACGCGGACCGGTCCACGCCCACGGCGCGGTAGGTGAGGCCGCCACCCGCACCGGCGTCCTTGGTCTGCGGGGCGGTGGGCATGGCTCGGGGAACAAGCAATGGCAGGAGCACATGTAAACTTTCGGAGGTCCGCGCGGACTCCCTGGATCGGCGCTGGAGGCGCCGCCGGGGGGCTCCAGCGCCGATCCGAGCAATCTGCGCGGACCTCCGACGGTGCATGTCTTGTGCATCTTGTTGTTCCCCGAATGGCGATAGTGTCAGAGCGCGCCGTGGCCCAGCGGGGGCTCGAGGCTGGTCCAGGCGACGTCGACGCGAGCGCGGCGACGTCGTTCCTGTACCAGGCGTCGTTAAAGCTGATTGCTCTGACGCCCACGTAGGCACGCTCGCGGGCCTCGTGCAGCCCACGTCCGACCGACACAACGGTCAGCACCCTGCCGTTACTCGTCACGAGGCGCCCTGACGCCTGACGCTCCTGAGGCGGGCCCGAGGAAGACCGGCGCAGCGACTGGACCGCCCTCTCCCCGAGCATTGCAGTGCCCGAGTGGAACACGGTCGTGCCAGGCACGCACAGCGCTCTCTCCACGCCGGTGACGGGATGCCCGCGGCGGTACATGCCCGGGTAGCCACCGCTGGCCATGACGACGGCCACGACGCTGGTGTTCTCGCGGATGGCGACCTTGGTCTCTGCCAGGCGGCCGGTCGCGCAGGCGGCGAGGGTGCCGTAGAGGTCGCCCTCCAGGAGGCGCAGGGCAGCCTGCCCGACTGGGTCCCCCATGCGGCAGCGGAAGCGCAGGACCTTCGGGCCTGTGGGCGCGATCGCCAGCTCCGTGTGCAAGAAGCCGACGAACGGGCGCCCCTCCTTTTTCAGGCCCTCCAGCACGGGCCTCACCACATCCTGCTCGATGTGCTCGAGCATGTCGCGGCCGACCAGCGGCGAAGGCACGAACGCGCCCATGCCATCAGTGCGCAGGCCGCGGTCGTCGTCCAGCGCCCATTTATGGTCCTGCACTGCGAAAGGCAACAGCTGGTGGCTCGAGCCGTCAGACAACGCCAGAACCGAGACTTCACAGCCGCGGGCCCAGTCCTCCCCAACTGACTCCAGCGGAACTTGGAGGACAGGCACACCGTGTCGCTCGGCGAAGGCTTGCATGAAGCCCTGCGAGGACTCGATCTCGCCAGCCGCCGCCGAAGGGCCGAACACCTTGACGCCGTCCTGTCGCAGCACGTCCCCCATGCCCTCGCTTGCGAGCTGGGCCTCGTTGAGGCCCCCGCTGACCGCGCCCAAGACGACAAGCGCAACGCTGTTCTCTCGGCAGAACGCCTTGACCTCCGCGAAGTGCGGCGGCGTGAACGGGATGTCGACCTGAACCAACGGCGAGGTCTGGTCCTGCTGCACAGGCGTGTTCGCGCACGAGTGGTTGCCGTTCGTGCCAGCGTTGCCGGGCGCCACGAACACGCGCCCCACCTCGTAAGACTGGCTGAGCTTCCAGGCGAGGGCGTGCTCGCTACCGCTATTGCCCACGACGAGCACGGAGGACAGCGCGATGGCGGCTGCCGAGCTCACTCCGTAGCACCTGGCGCTGCTGCCCTCCATCCAAAGCACGAAGGCGCGGGAGCAAACCTTGATGCCCCCGTCGGTGGGGTAGTCGCCGGTAAAGTACCAATCCCCAGAGTGCTCGGGCATGGCCTCGTGCAGGGCGCTCAATGTGTTGTAGAGGACGTCGATTTCCGCCCGGCAGCCGTCGGGCCTGACCTGCTTGACGATCTCCGCCGAGATCTGCTCCGGTGTGAAAGGTTCGTAAATGCGCTTCACGTGGTTTGTGAATCCGCCGCTCTGCACTGGCCGCCCAAGCTGCTTGCGGCACTCCCGGTACACATCTGAGATAACCTCGCCCCTGCCACTCTCCTGCAGCAGGGTGATGGCCGCCTTGAAGGCCGCCAGGTCCCCCATCTTGGCCATGTCGATGCCATAGACGTCAGGATAGCGGATCTGTGGGCAGCTCGACAGCACGATGATGCGCTTGGGCCCCAGCCTATCCAGCGTGCGCAGGATGGCGTTTTTCAGGGTGTTTCCTCGCACGATCGAGTCGTCGAGCGCCACCAGCACGTCCTCCCCTGGCCGCACGGTGCCGTAGTGGACGTCATAGGCATGCATTGTCATTTTCTCCCGGGAGCTATCCTCTTGGATGAAGGTCCTGATCTTCGCGTCCTTGTGGACCACTTTCTCGGTGCGTACGCGCATCGCGTTCGTCTTCTCGATGGCGGCCTCCAAGTCTGCGCCGCTCTTGCCCTGCAGCTCAAGCAGGACCTGCGCGCGCTGCCTCGCCATCTCGTCCTGAGCCTCTTTCACCAGACCAAGATAAGCGACCTCGGCGGTGTTCGGGATGAAGGAAAGTACTGCGTTCAGCAGCGAGTCCCCGCCGTCCTGCAATTTCTTCATGAGTGCGGGAAGCATCAGCCTCCCCAGGCTCTCGCGCTCCCTATACACGCCAGAGTCATTGCCGCGAGAGAAATAGATGCGCTCGAAGGAGCACTGCTTCAGCACCTTCGGGGGCAGCACCCGCTGCAAGGACCAGTGGCCGCTGCGCTTAACCACCATCGCCTGCCCGGGAGGCAGCGGGTGAACATCGCTCTCCTTGACGTTGAAGACGGTCTGGATGAGCGGGGCCTCGCTGGCCACGACCACGATCTCGTCGTTCGCCAAGTAGAAAGCCGGGCGGATGCCGCTGGGGTCCCGGATGCAGAACGCGTCGCCGTGCCCGAGGACGCCCGCGATGCAGTAGCCGCCGTCCCAGTCGGTGGAGGCGCGCCGCAGGATCTGCGCCACGTTCAGGTTCTCGGCGATCAGGCTGAAGCAGGTGCGTGGCGCCTGGCCGGCGGCCGAGTACTTGACGTACATGTCGTTGTTCTCCTTGTCCACGAAATGGCCGATCTTCTCTAGGAGCATCACCGTGTCCGAGAGCTCCAGCGGGTGCTGCCCGATCTGCACAAGGCTCTGGAAGAGGTCCTCGTTGTTGGTGATGTTGAAGTTCCCCGCGAGCAGCAGATTCCTAGTCATCCAGTTGCTCTCCCGCACCACAGGGTGGCACCGATCGATGGTGTTGTCGCTGTCGGTGCCATAACGCACGTGCGCGAGGAGCACCTCGCCGGTGAAGGGGACGTTCTCCTTGACCCAGTGTGGGTCGATGCGGGAGGCGCCCTCCCCAGAGCTGCCGCCGCCTATCCGTGCGTCCGCTGGCGCTTTCTTCATCTTCTCGTTCGCCATCTTCTGCACCCGCCCGAACACATCGGCGATCGGGTCGGGCTCCACCGACTTCTCGCAGTGAATGTAACTTGTTCCAGGGGCTACGTCGAGCTTCACGCTGGCGACGCCGCAGCCGTCCTGGCCGCGATTACGCTGCTTCTCCATCAGCATGTACATCCGGTTGAGCCCGAAGAAACAAGTGCCATACTTCTCCTCGTAGTACTCCGGCGGTTTCAGCAGACGCAGCAGCGCAAAACCACACTCGTGGTGCGGCTCGTCGCTCATTAGCTCGTCATGGGGTGTTCGGGCTGGCATCACACCGAGCCAGCAGGGGCAAACGCACGAAGCGCGCCTGGAAGCAGCTGAACTCGACTCTAATATCTTTAGCCAATATGGCTGCGGAGAGGAGGACGACGAGGAGGTGGAGGGCAAGGAATAGGAGGACGAGTAGGAGCACTGTGGTGGCACAGGGAAAAGAAAGGGAGAAGGAGCAAGAGGAACGGAGTACTTGGAAGAGAGAGGGAGAGAGAAGGGGGGAGAGAGAAGATATGAAAAGGGAAAGTCGAGGGAGAGAAGGGCAGGGGAGGGGAGAGTAGATGGGAAAGAGGAGGGCAGAGGGGAGGAAGGGTGAGGGCAAGGAAGAGACGGGAGGGGTGGATCGGAGGGGAGGCGAGGGGAGATGAGGAGGGGGGCGCACGGGACAAGACGGGGGAGATGATCGGGGGGGCAGGCGACACATGGCTACATGGGAAAGCAGAGAGGCGAGAGCAGAGAGAACTGCAGAAGGGGAAGGGCGAGAGGGGTCCGTTGCGCGCACACACACACACACACACACATCACACCTGACATGCTACCTCCCTCGCCCACCCCTCTCACTGCGCCCGCTCCCCTTCGTGCATGCGCCGACTCGGGTGCAAAAGAAATCCGTCTGGGCGTCCCCTGGCAGTCCCAGGAGGCCCCCACCAGGCCCCTCGGAGGCCCCCAAGGCTCCCAGGAAGCCCCAGGGAACCCCGAGAGGGCCACAAGAGGCCTCTTCTTTTTCTTATTCCTCCTCCTCAGCATCATCATCCTCCTCCTTTCGCCCCCCCTTCGGGAAGAGGTTTACCCCTCCCTCCAACCCCTCCCCTGGGTCTGGTCGGAAGTGGCTCGTGACGCGGCGGAGCGTCCAAGATGGCCGCAGGATGGCTTGAAGATGGGCCTCCAAGAGCGCACAACATAGCCAAGGATGGCCCTAGATAGCTTCCAACATGCCTCCTAGAGGCCTCAAGGCCGTCCCAGGTGGCCACGGAGCCTCCCAAGAACGCCCCCAAGAGGCCAAACTCTGCCCAACATCTATAGACACATCAAACGTATGGGGCCTCGCCCTCTCGCTACCGCTTGCCTTTAGGCCTCCAAACGGCTCCAAGAGAGCCCTCGTGAGGGGCACGCGAGAACTCCAAGAGCGCTCAAGACCGCCCCAAGAGGGGCTCAAGATATGATGGATTCTCTAAGGGCCACCCCCCTTTGATCGATGGCCTGCAAGATGGCCCCGAGAAGGCCCCCCACAGGGCACCAAGCGAGCCACACAGGCTTTCAAGAAGGCTCCGAGAGAGCCCCACAAATGGCCCAGGAGGACCCCAAAAGGCTACCAGACCGAAAGACCCGCGAAGAGATTGATGGCTTCAGTTGTCGTTGTCGCCGTAACCTTCTTCCTCCCCTATCCTCCCCCATCCTCCTCTTCCGCATCTTCGGCCTCCTCATCCTCCACTTCATAATCCTCCGATTCCTCCTCCTCGTGCCGTTCCACCTTCCAATTATCCTCCGCCTCCTCCTCCTCCTGCTCATCCTCCTCCTCATCCTCCTCCTCCACCTCCACCTCCTCCTCCTCCTCCTCCTCATCATCATCATCATCAGTATCATCATCAGCAGCAGCATCAGCAGCAGCAACAGCAACAGCATCAGCATCATCATCAGCAGCATCATCAGCATCACCATCATCACCATCATCATCGTCAGCATCACCACCGTAATCAGCAGCATCCGCATCAGCATCATCATCATCATAATCAGCAGCAGCAGCATCATCATTACCATCAATCATCATCATCATCATCAGCAGCAGCAGCAGCAGCAACATCGTCATCAACATCATCATCACCGTCGTCACCATCAGCATCACCATCATCAGCATAATCAGCATCAGCATAATCATCATCCTCATCATCATAAGAAGCATAATCAGCATCAGCATGATCAGCATCAGCATAAGCATCATCACCATCATCAGCATCAGCATCAGCATCATCATCAGTATAATCAGCATCAGCATCGTTAGCATCAGCATCAGCATCAGCATCATCGTCATCATCATCATCCTCATCATCTTCATCGGCAGCATCATCATCAGCATCATCAGTATCATCACCAGCATCATCATCAGCAGCATCATGATAATCGGCAGCAGCATCATCATCGTCACCACCTTCCTCCCCTTCCACCCACATGGAAGTCAACTGAAGTCGAGTGGAAGTGGATTCCGTCTAAGTATTGCTCATCCTGCTCACCCTCCTCTCACCCTCATCCTCATCCTCATACGCCTCTTCCTTCTCCTCCCAGGCCGTTTCTGCTGGGCGCGGGATGGCGGGCGCGATCGGCGGCCGCCGCCCAGCTTGCAGCGGCGAACTCGAAATGGTGCGGCGTCGATGCGGGCCATAAGATGGCTTGGGAGCTGCCGTGTGGAGGTCACTGGTGCGGTTGATGCGGTGCCGCGGTGTGGCCGCTCCTCGGCGGATGCGCTGCAGTGCCCGTCGTCGGCGTCATTGTGCACCAGTGGGCATTGCAGGCTGGCCCTCTGCAGCCGAGCTACGGTGCCCCGCCGCTCACGCAGCCTGCAGCGCCTGGCGTGAGGCGGCCCTCGCGGCACGAGGGGCAGTTGGCGGCGTCGCTTGGCACCACCTGTGGCGGCGTCTCGGAGCTGCCGAAGGACCAGGGCGCGTCGGAGGACGACAAACGGGACAGGCTGTAGGAGGCGATGGCGGCTGCAGTGGGTGGCTGGCAGGCCCCCAGGAGCCAGGCGCGGGCGCAGAAGGGAGATGCCAGCCGCCCGGCGCCGCGCGGCTGCCTGGCACGTGGCTTCGCGGCCCTCGGCAACGAGAGCGACGACGACGACGACGACGACGACGACGAGGACGGTGATGGCTTCAACCTCGCGGAGCTCGGGGGTACGGCCGTGGCCGACCCGAGGGCCGACGCCGCCGCAGATCGTCGTCGCGGCATCGGTGTTCCAGGGGGACGTGGTCAGCGTGCAGCTGGTGGCGGGCCAGGGGTTCGTGAAGATAGCGTTCGTGCTCACGGCGTTGGCGTTCGAGGAGATGTGTACCCTCATAACGGGCATATGGAATTGCTGGTGCTCGTGCTGCCGTCACAGCTCGAGTCCGTGGAAATGACGCTCATGTGGGAGCCGCTGGCGTTTGGGGAGCCGCCTGTGCTCCTGGAGCTGCTGCTGACGTGCATGAAGCCGCTAATGTTCGTGAAGACGCTGACGTGCAAGGAACCGCGGACGTTCATAGAGCTGCTCACATGCATGGAGCTGCTGACGTGCACGGAGCTGCTGCCGACGCTCATGGGGACGCTGACGCTCGTGGAGCCGCTGACGCTGGTGGAACCGAGGACGCCAGCGGGGCTGCTGACATGCATGGAGCAGCTGCTGGCGCGCGTGGAGCCGCTCAGGTTCGCGAAGCTGCTGACGGGCGTGGGGATGGTGCCGAAGCTCGTGAAGCTGCTCTAAACGTTCGTGAACGGCTGACGATCGTGCTGGAGCCGCTGACGGTCATAGTGCAGACGTTCGCGGAGCCGCTGACGATCGTGCCAGGACGGCTGATGGTCATAGTGGAACTGCTGGTGTTCGCGCAGCCGCCGGAGTTCGTGATGATGGGGATCATGTGGGAGCCGCTTGCGTTCATGGAGCCGCATGTGTTCCTGGCGTGCTGCTGACGTGCATGAAGCCGCTAGTGATCCTGAAGCCGCACACCTGCACGGGGCCGCAGACGTTCGTGGAGCCGCTAACGTGCATTGCTTTCTCTCTCTCTCTCTCCAGACATCGCAATGCGAATGTTACACGCTGCGTGCTAGCCCCCTCAAAAGGCGCATCCTTGATGTGGTCCAACTGCGCCGGGGAAAACACTTAGCGGACTCATCTTCCAAAGCACTGGGCAAGTTACTGGTGCAATAAATCCCCGTGTAGTATCAGCACTCAAGAAACACCACGAGACTGCATCGGCCACGCGGCCGGGACAGGCAAGTGCTACACGTGACAATTATTGCCCGGGCACGCGTCCAAAACAACCGCGACAATGTGAAACCTCGAATGACAACACATGTTGACCCTCGCGCACAAATGCCAAGGAGGAGGAGGAGGAGGAGGGAGAGCAAAGGAGACAAGGGGAAAGAAAAGGAGGAGGGAGGGCAAACAAGGCACTGTGGTCATCGCCCGACTGCGTGTCAATCTGGGCACCCGCATGACCTGGTTGAGCAAGCGCCGACTATTCAATTACGCCGTGGACGGAGCCCAAACCACTGCGTAGGCGAAGGCCACCAAGCAGCCCAGACGAAGTTGTTGACCAGCATGCAGAAGAAATGGGGGGAGAAGAAGCGAACCGCGAGGGTCCAGAGGTGCCCGTAGAAGTTCGCGATGGCCACGTAGAGGGAGAGGGTGCGCCTCAGAGGGGTGCGACTACGAGCCTGACCAGCGAGTCCCTGACCGCCGCGTCTGTCATGGCTTGAATCCACACGTCTCTCGCAACTGTCGTTCGCCCATGACCGGCGGCATTGGTGGCGATGAATGCCGCATAATGACGCAAGGCTCGAAGCGCCAATTGAAAATTGTCTGAGAACTCCAGTGAGACAGATAAAATCCTCGAGCCAGTTCTCGAAAGGCGCCACGGGCAATCGTAGCCGAGTCCCAGCCAGCCTCGCCACCACCGGACAATTCGCGTAGTGCTGCATGGAGCCCTGACCTGCTTAGCAGCCAAAGCAACACTGCACTGCACGGAGGCTGGAGACCGCGCAGGTCCAGCCGCCCAGCGCTGCCTTGGGAGTAGCTGCCCACGAACACACACACACACACACACACACACACACAAAAAAAAAGACACATACACACACACACGGGGGCACCATTGGGCAAGACGCCGAAGAACTGCGTCAAGTCGCCCGACACGACGGCCAGGAACGAGAGGATGACACCATCTGTCCAGACGACGACGCAAACTATGGTGGATCTCAAAGACGGTCAATTTTTTCCACGAAAGCAATCAAATCAGCACGGCGATAGCTCGCGCGAGTGCCGTTCGCATCACGAACCGAATCGGGAGAGATCGCGATGAATATGAACATCGCAGATGCGGACATCAAGGAAAAAGCCAGTCTTAGGTAACACGGCTGCGGCGGCACCTGTGGATTTTCCTACAGGATCCACGCCAAAGAAGGGGAGGGGAGGGAAGGGATGCATTGAAGCGTTGTGAACGAATGCCCCCATAACCCGAACAATTGTTCATATAAACCACCACTCATATAAGAGTCCCATGCACCAACACGCAAACTCACACAAGAAACAATCGGCCCCCAGGCCGAGCGAAAGCACAATTACCGACAGTGCGAATGAAGTATAGCAAACCGTGAAACGCGGAAGCTGACAGCTACATTCAGTAGACCGATCATGCACCGCAGCGGAGGCGGGGGAAGAGGAGGACGAGCCGAGAACGAGGCGCAGCAAGAGGGGGGGGACGATTTGTCAACACCTCTGGTGCCGCGTGCGAGCAAGGAGTAAGAAAGAAAAGCGTCGAGTCAAGACGCGAAGGCACTGGGTGAGAATCGCCCACCAGAGATCAAGCACCATTGAAGCTAAACTGGGCGGGCGCGGCAAGACCGCAAGGAGACACGCTGGCGACGGCCGCAGCGTGGGCCAGAAGCGGCCCGTTGCTTCACAAGCTGACTGCATATCAGTTGCCACCGCCGCCACCGCCCCTTCGGGAGCGGGGCGGGCGAGGAACCCCGTTGGAAACTCTCCACGTTCACGCGCCCGGCGCCGGCCAGGTCGACTAGCCCTTGCTGCGCTTTCTGAAGGTTGATAAAGAAGCTGCCTGTCGGCCAAGGGAGCCAGGCAGCATTCCGTTCCGGACATTGCAAGAGGGCATGTTTCGTGAAGATGCGTAGCAAACGACGGCGATCCTGGAAACCCCCGCAGCCCGCGCCCCCCCACCAGTGGACTCGTGGCCCCCATGCTCGGCACATCCGCGGGAAGCCAAAGCTGCGCAGATTCTGCATGAGCGCGGGGGACGTCCAACCCCGAGAGCCAGGGATGAGCGCGCTCACCAGCCTCAACTCCTCCTCCTCCTGCTTCCAGATCGGCGGCAGCTCCTCCAGCTGCACGAAGTACCCAGCCAGCGGGAGCACGTACATGCGTAGCGCAGGTAGCGCGACGAGCATGCCGCACCCGATGCCCTTCCAGACCTGCGCCCTCACGCGAGCATTGTGGACGCCGCCCTTCCAGGCCTCCACGCCGCGGGCGGGGCCGAGAAGGAAACCGAGGTACTTCGCGTGCCCAGCGATGCTAAAGGTGCCCCAAGCACGAGCTTCTGCGGCGACGGCGGCACGGATCTCGTCGCCCCCGCGCAGGGACAACGGCGCAGTCACTCATTCTCTCGCGTGGAGCTTCAGGCAAGAGACAAAATCGCCCACGCCGAGAAGTATATCCAACCGCCTGGCCTCCGGCAGCCGCTGCAGGACGAGCGAAACGTCATCCGCGCAAGCCCTCGTCAGAACCTCGGGCGACAGGCGCCAGACCCGACGAAGCAAGACGTATGAGAAGATGGAAAATGAAAGCGGCCATAGGGGGCATCCTTGCCTGACCCCGCAGTGACCCCAACCCTGGGGCCCTCGGTGCTACGCATAGAAATGACGCAGTAGCTGTTGCCTCACAAGACAGACATGAATCGACGCATCCAGAGCGGCCATCCTCGTGTCTCGAAGACGCGCTGGATGAACTCCTGGCCGAGGCTGGGGAAAACCGCCTCGAAGTTCAGGAGCACTGCCACAGGGTTGTCCTGGGAGAAGGCGGAGTCCAGCATGGCCCCCTCGACGTCCAGTATATTGACAATAACGGAGCGGCCGCTTAGGAACCCACGCTGCTCCAATGAGAGTAGCAACGATGGGCTCGATGCGCAGACGCAGGGCACTGCCCAAGATGCGGTTGTCGGCGTTGGTGATGCCAAGGGGCCGCAGGTTGCCAGGGGCGACAACTTCGGTGCCATCCGGGAGCGCGGACGACGGGTTCTTGGGCAGGAAGACCATGAGGTTTCGATCGAAGGACACCCATTCCGCCCTCACCCGGTCCAAGCCGTCGGGGGCAACCATCTCTTGGTATGCTGCCTCGAAGACGTCAGCCGCGAGATTCTGGATCCTTCGCCAAGCCTTGAATGGGATGCCATCGCGGCCAGGCGCGCTATTTTTCGTGAGCAAGATGGCCTTTCTGGAAGGTGTCCCGAGGAACCGCGGAGGTGGGGGAGGTGGTCCTGGCAGTTCGCAGGTAGGCGCTGGGCATCCTCACGCAACCACGTCGCCATTATCCTCTCGCCCACGTCACGCCGATGCAACACTCGCTCCCGATATTCCAGGATCAGCCGCAGCATCTCCCGGGGGTCAGTGGCGGCCTCACCAGACGGCGTGTCTATGGCAAATCACAGGCAGCTGCGGCCGGGGGCGAGGCGGCACGCCAGGCGTCGATTCCTGCGCCGCCGCCGCGCCGCTTGGGCGGGGTCCAAGTCACGAAGGTCCTCGTGCAAGCGGTTGAGTTCCTGCATGGTGAAGCCTTGTTGAAGCCCCATGATGCAACGGCGCACTCGAGACAGCCGCGGGCCGGCCAGCGAGTAGAAGTCGCACGGCTTCCGCGCCAAGTCGCGAAGCAGCGGATAACGCTCCAGGCAGCGCGAGACGCGCTCAGGAACGCCCGCCTCCGAAGCCCGCGGGAACTTCATGGAAGCGCCGACGCGGTCCTCGAAAGCCTCGGCTTGCGGCGCATCCCCGACCAGGGCAGACAAAGCCCGCTCGGAGAGCCGCATGGCCTCTTTGAGTACCTGCAGCTTGGAGATTGCCAAAGCGCCACGGCGGTCGCGGAGGATGGTATGCCAGGCCAGAGGAGATACTTGCTGAGGCCAATCCGGGTGGCCCAGCACCTGGTCGCCGAGAGGCCGCTCCGCGTCGCCCCCGCCGTGCGGGAGGCACTTCCTCATGCTGACGGGGCGGTGCCCGCAGAATGCGGGGCATCAGTGGAGAGCAGTGAACGAGAAGGACTTGTCCATGTATTCGGTGTCGCACTGGTTGGAGCACGCGCGGTCGAGGCGAGACTGGGGGTTGGGGGAGGCGCTGGTGGGTTCAGGCTGATAGACCTCGTGGAAGCCGAATGGCACTCCAAGTAGGTCGCGCCAGCGGGACGAATCCCTGTAGTCGCGGCCGCCCGCAGCAGCGGCCGAGGATTTACAAGTCCGGTCCGCCTCGGAGGCCATGAAATTGAAGTCCCCAACGATCATGCTCATGATCTGGTCCCGGGGCCGCACCTGCACAGCAAGTCGACGGCGAAGAGCCTCGCGCAACTCGAGTTTGGACACCCTGCGGCCCACTGGATCGAAGCCCGCCTCGATCACGTCGTCCACATGTGCCGAATCCCATGTGGGGAAGCACACCTAGAAGATGTCCAGAGAGCCGCGCGAGCCCGAGAGGCGAAGGGCGGCTGCTCTGCCTGGGGAGACTACCTCGAAGCGCGCGCTGTCGAAGAGCCCGAGGAAACCACCCCGCACCGTGATCCCGACGCCTGCGCTCGCCGCAGAGGGGCCCAGAGACCACCATGATGAGCCGCCCGGCGGATTCCGCCACGCCCTGCAGCGGTCCGCTGCACCGTGGGTCTCCGATTAACGACCAATGTCGTGTGAGGTCATCAGCTGGCGCACCCGCCGCGACCGGGCATAGGCTCCTCTTCGCTCGGGCTCGTGGAGCAGACCAGCGCCAGTCGGGTGAACTGGGCCCGCTCTGCGAGGCGACCCTGGACCACAGGACCCCCCCAGACCTCCGACGTCCCTGGGGATCCCGGCGCTGCAATGTTTCGCACTGGGCGATTTCGCCCTCTTTCGAACTCCAGGGCCCTCGCAAATCGATCGGGCACGAACAGAGCCACAGAAAGATGCGGTGTGGGGCTCCGGTCGTGATGTTTCGCGGCCTTGCAATTTTCCCCGACGTCGGATCTCAAGGGACGTCGTGACTTCTTCACGATGTGGGTTCCAAAGCCTCTCGACCACACTGCCGGATCTTGCTATGCACCGCAGGTCGTTTCGGCCCCAGGATTCGAGAGGCGGCCCCGCGGGGGCGAAATCACAAAAGGGCGCGGTCGCGTGGGCCAGGGAAATCCCCAGGCGCCGGCGCGTGCCGCCAGGAGGGGTCCAGCCCCACCCGAGAAATCGGCGCGCACCTCCGAAAGGGTATGCTGATGCCGCTTGTTGTTGTTCGATGGCTGCCGCTCGGCTCGCCGCTCGAGCCTTTCGAAGTCTTGTTACTTGGAGGACGGGGAGGGCAAGGCGGCCACAAACGTAAGGGGGGCCGTGCTAACGGCCGTCCTGCTGCTGCTGCTCTCTCTCTCTCTCTCTGTCCTCCGCCCCTCCTCTTATCCTTGGTCCTGCTCGCTTCGGATAGGCAGCGACTGTCGAACGTCTTCGGCACCCAACCGACCGAAGGGGGAGAGCCGACGCGACGGATTGTTCCACAACGCACGCGGCAGGGGAGAAAGAAGGAGGAATCCGCTGCCTCTCATGAAGGCTATCTTGAACACCACAGTCAAAGATTGCAACGTAATCAAACAGGCAAAAAGCGGCAATGGCCCCAGACTCGGATAGCCTGGGAAGCATCCGCACTCGAAACATGACTGTCTTGCGGGCGTGGCCGAAATTCGGGCCGCGGATAGGCGCAGTGAGAGGGAGAAGGAAGAAGACGCAGGAGGAAAGAGAGAGACAGGAAGAGTGAACGGAACATCCATGCTCAGAAGACCCGCGCATGCGTTCACCTTTCTAGGGATCCTCCCACGGTTCTCACACAATTTTCCCTCGCGGGATTAACTAGCACGGTAGAGGGAGGATGGGAGCGCCGGCTGGTTGAAACAAATGGCGGACAAGGCGAAGACACGCTCACAGCCAGGATGCTCCGCGAATCGAGATGTCCAGCGCGCTACAAGCATGGTCTACGTGGGAAACCTCGAATGTTTCGTCGACTGGCGTGTGCTCAAGGTCCACAAGAACCAGGCGGGCACCGTGGAATCCCGCAGAGTGCTCACAAAGGACCGTCTACAGGGGATCGCTGGGGTACAGGCAAGTACGCTTTTCCACAGAGGCGGAGGCCAAGAAAGCCAGAGTCCCCCTGGAAGAGACGGAGCTCAAGGGCTCGATGATCCTCGTCAAGATGCGGTCTGGCGCTACAGGACATCATCTACCAGGCGCGTAAAGAGAAGTGGCGGGGCGTGTCAGAAGAGCTGGGAGTTGCGACAAACTGGGAGACCAGCGCGCGCGAGAACTGTCGGCCGTGGCGCGAGAATGGTGACTCAGCGGGTGGCGCGTGGCCTAAGGCCGCGCAGCGTTCGCCTGGGGAGTCAGGGATTGCTATCATGGCAGCGCAAGAGGAGGAAGAGGCACACACGGAGCAGAAGGCAGACGCGGAGGAAGGAGCAGGATGCAGACGCGAAGGAGTTGGGCTGGGGGCTTCCCGAAGCGGTCCCTGGAATCCCGACTGAAAGCTTAGGGTCTAGCACTCTGTTCTAAACACCTCCGAAATAAAGAGGGAGAAACGCCAGGGAAAGGAACCGGAAGGCCGCGGAGCAAGAGGAGGAGGAGACAGTCACTGAGGAGGAGGCGCACGCGGAGGCGCACAGGCATGCAGGTGCACCAGCCGAATCGGCCCCGCCGCAGCGCGGTCCACTGTGGAGAAAGACCACTCGCTCGCCCAAGAATGACGAGGCGGAGAAGGAGAAGATAGAGGACAAGAAAGAGGCGGAGGAGGAGAAAGAAACGGAGGAGGAGGAGCAGCAGGAGCAGGAGAAGCAGAGAAGGAGGCACAGGAGGAGCAGGAGGAGCATGAGGAACAGGACGACCAGGAGGTGAAAGAGCAGGTCTGCACTCCTCGCAAGCCGACCGACTCGGCGCCTCC